GTCCATCATGCGTTCGGAGACCGAATGGCATTACTGTGAATTTGTACAATCCATCTGCTGTTACAAATGCGGTTTTCGAGCGAACAGTTGCGGGAGCAGCCAGGCAATGGTCATTCGCTTCTGCATGTGTCTGCCTTCTTTAATAATAATAATAATAATAATAATAATAATAATAATAATAATGCTGTTGTTGTTGTTGTTAGTGGTGGTGGTGGCGGTGGCGGCGGCGGCAACGGCGGCGGTTGTTGTTGTTGTTGTTGTTGTTGTTGTTATTGTTGTTCCGAACACCAAACAACTGACTTGCTCACTGCCCTGCTCAGAAGTTTTATTTTGGACAGATATACATGTTTTTTCAGATTTACCAGATACGCTCAGAACTTCCCGAGTGCGTTTGGCTATTTATAGCCCAGCGATCACCTAGACTTGCATGTGATGAGGACAGGGCATCATAAACACACCTTAGGTGCCGCTAGCTTTTTTAGAGAAAAAACGTTCAAGTTACACTGAAAAGTTTCAGCATCCTACATGTAGGACACTGGACATATATGGGTTAAGTACGAAATATGATACCTAGGACAGAAATGTGAAAACGTCATCATTTCGAAAAAACAGTGACTGCCTGAATGTGCATTTGAAGTAAATGTTTCCAAAACTATTTTTTTCTAAAAAAAAAAAAAACGTCTTTTGTCATTTCTTCTGCCGATCAGTGAGGGATCATGTGGCCAAACCTTTTGAATGCGACTGCACAAAGGTACATGCAGCAATATTGAACAAGCATTCATCAGTTTGCTCATTTCTTAAAGTGACACAAGAAAAGAAAAAGATTTATGATAAGTGCGTTGATGCTCTCCCAAGAGCAGGATTGTCGTCCACCTTGCTACTACGTTGTAGTTGCGTTCAGGAAGCGCAGCAGCAGGTAGGAACCTGAGCATTCCTTGTGCTGCAAGTTGGCACAGAGCACCCGTGCGAGATCGCGGTGGTACGGTAGAAACAGCCCCCCATGTGCATGCCATAAAGGAAGCGAGTGCACACCTACCGACTGGCCGTCAAAGATTTTTGAAAACCCATCTCTGATGCTTAATAAATAAGGCTGTAAAGAAGGCTGAGCTAGGATGGGAATATTTTGACCACCACTATAAACAGAGCTCAAATTTTATTTGTTTAATTTATCATAGTGAAACTGGAAATAATTGGGATTGTGTTAGTCATAGCTTCAGTATCCTCGAATATATAGCTAAAAATGAACATGTATGCCAATTGATTATTTCTTGGAACAATTAAACAGTGGAATAGGCTAACTGAGAAGCATGCATGCTGTGGAAATGAAGATGTACTGTACTTGATGCTGTAACCTCCTAAGCCCCTGTTGCAACCTGAAGACAGTTGTCTTTATGTGTAAACCAAGTTGTATTAGAACGGAAACTTGGTTGAATTAATAGGCTTTCATTAATGCCTGTCCTATGCTCATATTTCTTTGTCCTTGTCTCGTGTACACTGTTTCAACTAAAGATGAACTTTTATTATGTGTGTGAATGAAGAAGTAATTCATTCAATGTTTTAACACCCTGCTGTAGCGCTTTTGAGGGCTGTGGGCTATCTGAGAATGAAGAATAAGTGTAAGCCTGTGAAAGCATTCAAATTTAATATGACCGATGATGATTTATTTTATCAAAAGATTTAATTCGGCTTATATATCTTGATTCGGCATATTCACAGATTTGCATTGCTTCTCATATCTAAGTGACTGGTTGTGACTCTTTTACAGTCGAACTTCGCTACAACGAATGTCGCTTCAACGAAATTTCTGCTACAACGAAAAATTCATGGTTCCCCGTCAGCAGTCCATAGGAGTCGATGCATAAATGATGTCGCCACAATAACACTCTTTCTTCTGCCGTCCTGCTTCAAAGAAATTTCACGATGCAATACCAGGCTCAGATATTTATACTATACAGTTAACACAGTCTTTAACATTTTGATGCATTTTCAGAACTTGAAAATACATTTACTAATCTAAAACATGCGTTGGCACCACCAGAAACCGCTGCCCTTCAGTAAGCATGGGCGTCGCCATTGCTCGATAGCGAGGGCAATGAGACTGCCCTGCTTTTGCCACTGGCTTGCTTTTGAGCCGCAGACAATTCGAAGCTGAAGCTCAGTCGCTTAGTTCATGGTTTTCTTTCACGCAGCTGTGTGGAACGATGCCTTTTTCGATGCCAATGCATATCATTTCGTTTGCGCTTGGCCATTATGGTAACTAATCAGGGTAACTGTTTGTCCACATTATCAACAAAATCAGATAGCTGCGAGTTGTGGATGTAAGAATGGCATAGAATAAGGTAAAGTCAGCGCTCCACAGTACCTGGCCTCCATCTTGGCATTGTCGGATGCAATTTGACGGCGGACAGCTGCTGGTGTTAACGTGCTAATGCAGCTGTTTGGGTCGTTCACCAAAGCGGTTAGAGGCCTTCTTTCATCGTGCTTTTCACCATGGCCTTGTTATGCATGGGTGAGAATCGCGTTGTAACGCTGCTGGGAAAAAACAGGAAGCAGGGGACACTTTTTGAATTTTGAGAATAAACAATGCTTTGTTTTGCTAGCTCAGATCAGTTATATATTTTATTTATTTCACTACAACGAAATTTTTGCCTCAACGAAATTTTTTTCTGCGCCCCGTCAGTTTCGTTGTAGCGGGGTTAGGTTCTATTACCACCCCTTTTCAAATCAATCACCAGTAATCAACGCTTTGAATCACCAGTTTGAGCATGCTGAACTTGCTTCTCGTGCACTCAGCACTTCCTAGTAGTTGGTCCCGCCAGCAACATAGTGATTCTTGACAGAGTTTTGCATAAACTATGCGCGTGTGTTGGGAAAATGTGCTTGGCTGGCTAACTTGACAAAAGTGTGTGCCACTAGTGACAATGCTAGAGTAACATCAATGTTATGTAGAATAAAGAACTTTTCCTAGTCAAATATCAAATTAAGGTGTCAGCTTTGCAATCTGACCGTGTTGAGCGGTAATAATTGCCTGAAAATTTATGCCAGCTATTTAATACAGAGCTGTTGCTTGGAGTTGGGAAGATTTGTCCTACAAAAAATATTTCCAAAGATCCACCGCACGTATTAAGTGTGGAAGTGGCCTTTTTAAGGTAGCTTACAGCAGCTTTGGTTTTGTTTGAATCAGACACCGGGCCACATCAAGTGTCACTAGTTCCTACTTCGGCGTCACCTTCATGCGCGCATAGGTATGCACCTGCACCGTGAGATAATGCGCACTGCTTAAAACTGCCTTACAACTGCTCTTGAATGGAATGATGACGAGCTTCGAGTCAGAAGAGGACAGCACCTCGGCGTCAAGCTCGCATGGTGATGATGTTTTGCGTCACCCTCGGACATATGCAGCCGTTCAGGGGTTGGTTTTGTTCAACATATTCGCACAGCGCAAGACTACAAGTAGTTGCGACGTAACCAGAAGAAACAAGGACAAAAGAGCGCTGCAGCACTCTTTCTGTCCTCGTTTCTTCTGTAGTTATGTCGTAACTACTCGTGGTCTTGCACTGTGCAAATATGTTGATTCCCTATCACCAACTAGCCCAAGTATTTGTCTTATCTGGTTTTCTTCATGGACTCAAGTGGTTTCCTCAACCGCAAGTGGGTAGCTGCTGACTTTTGTACCCAATCTTAGAGCTACTCTGGTTACGTGCTAGGTCGGCACGTCACTAGGGCATGGTGTGCTGGCCCCGGCAGCAGAGCTTCTCCTCATGGCAGAAACGCCATCGGAATACGTCTGGTCACTGCACTACGGAGCGGCATGAGACGTTTCAGGACTGCACGGGATATTATTCTGTTTTGTTATATTATCTGCAAAAATACAAGTAAATCTGCTTGAACGCATATATTGGAATGCAAATTTATGTGGAGATAGGTGACTCATAAAAAGAGATGACGTGAGATGAACTAGTGAAGTTCATAAAACATCTAAGGTATTGTCCACATCTTTGGCATCTATCCATATTGAAACACAACAAAAATTTCACGAGAAATGTGCAAGAGTTTATCTCACAATAAGCCAAAGAATGCTTTACTGCATAGCACGAGCAAAGAAGCAGCACCTGGGTTCTGATTTCCTTGGTAAATGTATGTAATGGAAACACTGTGTAGAACATTATTTTTTCTACTATTCCTGGGTAATTTATTTTCAAAATTCATCTTTCGAATTTACTTTCATTTGACTATTTTTGCATACATGGTGATTTTATTGAATCATTTGCCAGCTGACAACCAAACATTACACACTATTCACATTTTTATTCATTCCAAGATATTTCTTTAGAAATAGCATTTCATTGTGAATAATTGGGTATGCTGTAATGTGTGCTGTAGTACATTTCAAATTGGCAAAAACATTCTTCCTGAGACGTACGAAAAACAAACATTTTCTTATGGTAACAAAAGAATAAACTTGCCAAGAACTTGTTAGTACACTCCACGAAAAAAGGCATGTGTAAAATCTCTTTCAAATGTTGTATATTGCAATAATTTTGTCTGTAATTAGATTACATGTGTACCAGTTATTACCATGTGCATACAGAACGTATGAAGGCACTAGCAATAGCACATAATTGTACGGTTACAAAATATACAAGCAGCCAGTGCATTTGAGATGGGTATGAAACTTTGACACCTGACTATTGTGCTCGCCACTATCATTGCACTGTGCTTATTATGTTTATTTTGCTGTGTATGGTTCTTTGCTATAAAGGGTTCACTTTTTGAAAATCCTGGAGTCAGTTACAGTATTCTTTAGGGCTAGTAATATTCAAACAAAATATGTTTATAAAAGCAGAAATTTTTGCTAGCAACAGGTGCTTGAGGAACAAGTTTTATAAAGAAGCCTGGGTTTTCAGAAGCCCTGTATTGCAACCTCTCTGTAGTGCTTTGTGTCATTGGTGCCTTAAATTGTGTCTATAAATTAATCATGCTGTTATGTTTAATTGCAGGAAAAGGTGGCTCTAAAATCCGCGAGCTTCAAGATGCCAGTGGTGCACGGATAAAAGTTTTGAGAGATGAAGAGGAGGCCTACGGTAGCTCAAACGAGGCTAAGATTGAGCTTGCAGGCACTGCTGAAGTTCGTCGAAAAGCACAGCAACTCATCGAGGATCTCATCTATCCGCAAGGAACAGGAAGTATGTGGCTTTCCTTTCTACTTAAAGGATCGCTGCCACCAAATTTGGGAACTCGAGATGCTTGTGTTGTTCGATAGTACTGCATGCGGGGCCACCTCTGAACGATTATTAGTGGCAAGTGTTGCCTAGAAGATATCTTCATTTGGTTTTAACCCTTTGAGGGATAATGGGACAGAAACGTCCCACTTTTTTCTCTGAAGAAAACGCTGTCTCAAATAAAAGTGGTCAAACTTGGCGCCAAAGGATTGTGCTGCTATTTATTATCAGACCTGGGTAATACTTTCTGTGGCAGTTTTGAAGTGGTTTCATAGATGGCGCTAGATACACAATCATTTGAAATCTGTTTTGTTTTGATCGCGGTGTTCCGAGTTTTCGCTTTCGTAGGACTGGATTTACGAGAGTTCAAGATGAATGGTAAGATTCTCCTTTCTTGCCCTTCTAGTTATGTGTTTGCCGCATGCTTTGGTGCCAATATTTTTGTAATCGAAGTATTTGGAGGCGAGCTACGGCAGTCGATGTGAGCATACTCCAAAAGTTCAGGGACGTTTTTCTAGGCCTAACTCACGCAAACTTCTGTTGTTGAGATATGTCTCTGTTTATCAATTTCAATGGACTCGCTTTCACGTGAGGAGGCACTGGAGAAGAAGCTTTGTCATCAACTCTGTTCCGCTGCTGCTCCTGTTCTGCGCTGCTGCTCACGGGTTGGAACGGCTTGAACGACGGGCGACGGGACTGCACTTGAGTTTAACGTTTGCTTCTTTGTGGTTTTAGTGCTTTTTTGGCAGATGTTTGTGGTTTGTGCCATATGATTTTCTAAGTTCAAGCGACTCAGGCTATTTAGATGTCGGTTTCTTCGCCTGGCCAAGGGCCTTCTCCTTGGCTAGCATCTATACCGGCCAAGGATTGGCCGATTGATTCTTTTCTTTGCAGTGGGGTTATCAACGTCCCCGTGGCTCTGGTACCGACTAATGGAGGTACGATACCTATGAAGAACCCGAAGATGATTCAAATGGAGCTTCGGCAAGCCACAACACACTTTCAAAAGATCAATGAGGTCCGGCATTTCGGTCGTGGTGGTATTTTGTGCTGCTCTGCCGATCAGGAGTGCGTCCGAGAGCTTCTCAATTGTTCCGAATTTGCAACGCAGCCGGTGAGCCCGTTTATTCCAGCGCATCTTGCATGTTCGAAAGGCATAGTCCGCGGTGTAGATACGAGCCTGACCCCTGCAGAAATTCTTGAGTTATTTTCGGTAGCAGGTGCAGTGTCAGTATACAGGTGCACGCGTCTGGTTGACAATAAAAAATCACCTACCGAATCCGTGATAGTAACCTTTGCGGGAACAATAAGACCATCTGAAGTTAAAGCTTGGCCTCTTATCTATAAGGTAGAGCCTCTATCCCCTAAGCCACTGCAGTGCTTGAATTGTTGGAGATATGGCCACAGCGTGAAAGGGTGCAGATCAACTGCCAGATGTCGACTATGCGGAGAAAATCACGACAGCCGTAAGTGCAACTCGACGGAAGACAAGTGCTGTTTATGTCATGAAGCGCATCCTGCAGACTCTTTAGATTGTGAGGCGAAAGAACGAAAAGTTAAGCTGCTGGAAATTGTGGAACGCAGGCGCTGCTCCCGGAGGGAAGCTGTGACTGAATTACAAGAACGCACGAAAGGTTACGCAAGCGTAACAGCACGACATACCACTGCTACGGATGCATCGTTAGCAAAATATATAGCAGAGGCTATAGAGAAGGCAACGGAAAAGGAGATGGAGCGTCTTGCCAGCAGTATTATTGGAGTCGTGGCTGAATTGTTAACATCTCAGTTGACCCAAATCATTGCTTCAGTGTCTATGAAAAATCAGACTTCACAGGATTTGGAGGTTTCAAAGTGTGCCGGGACAGAAAGTCCGATAACTCCTACACGATGCGCATCTTCTAAAGCAGGACCCTCCAATAAGATACTGCGGGCAGATCCAGAACCCGTATCAGGTGACACCGATGAATTCACAGATATGGATGCGGAATCTCATAATTTCTTGAAGCGTGCCAGATCTCCCCTATCGAAAAAGTCTTCACAGAAATCAAAATCTAAAAAGTTCCTGTCAAAGAAAGACTTTTTGGAGAACCTCTCCAAAAAAGACTTTTTGAAGAAAGATATTTTGGATCAAGCAGTCTCTGCGGCGGATTTATAGAGTCAATATAGCCTCCTTAAAAGTATTACAGTGAAATTGTCGATCAATAGGGTCGGCTACCACAGATTTATCGTGTATTTCTTCGCAAATTTCCCCAGATATTATTACTTTACAAGAAACTTGGCTTACAAATGGACAAAAAGTTTACCTAAAAAATTATCGCTTATTTCGTTTAGACAGACCTAGCACAGGTGGTGGACTTGCCATTTTTATATCAACTAAATTTAGTCATAGAGCAAAGATTAACTACCTGTGCGTTTATTCTAACTATGAAGTTATGGTATTAGACATCACTCTGCCAGGTTGTTCCCCTTTTTCTTTTGTTAACGCATACTTTCCGGTAGGAGTACAGGACACAAGATGCTTAGATGCAATGTTAGCTTCCTGCAGGAAGGATGTAATATTAACTGGTGCCTTTAATTCACACCACGTGTCTTGGGGTTTCAAGACTGATGTAAATGGAAGGCGCTTGTGGGAATGGACTGTTGATAATAACTTATCTTGTGTAAATTTCCCCACTGTTACGTTTATTAGGAGACAATCAAAGTCGGCGATAGATCTGACCTTTTCCAGCTCCTCAGTAAACATTTCGTCGTGGAAAACATTAGATTGCGCAACAAACAGTGACCACCTTCCTATTAGCTTCGATATTAACTTTCCCGGGATATTTTTAACTGGTAAAATTGGCTCGTTTGTAAATTATGAGTGTTTACAAAAAGACTTAGTCTACTTTGGTGCTTCGCAAGGACATGCAGGAAGACATTCGGGCTATGAGTCTGTGTGCGGTATTGAGAAGAGCAATAAAAAAGTCAACTTTTTCAATAACTTCAAGCACAGGCGGGTCGTTTAGCTCATGGTGGAACGCTGATTGTATGAGGGGGTATAGAAAACGAAAAGCGGCGTGGAAGCAACTTATCCACAACCAATGCCCAAAAAACTGGTGTGACTATAGATACGGGGCGGCAGATTTTAAACGTACAGTACGCAAAGCAAAAGATGACTATGACACTAACAAATTTAGATATCTTCCAAAACCATACAACAGAAAAGCGCTTTTTAGATTTTTGCGTTCCAGAAAAATAATACCACCATCAGACAATATTGATTCTTCAATTCTATCGCCTAGCGAACTCACTTAAATATTGGAAAATGTTGCTAAAGGATTAGAAGAAAGATTCAGATCAACAATGCCAAGACACATAGTAAAGCCAATTGCAGGGGAGGAGTTCAATGAGGTGACATTAGCGGAACTAGCAGGTGTAGTGAGGCACTTACCTCCTACAGCACTTGGACCAGATGGAGTAACCTCAGCAATGATAAAAGTACTATATGACATTTCCCCACATGAACTCTGTAATATGGTTAATTACTCTTTGAAAAATTCTTGGATACCGGCGGATTGGAAACTTTCCAAAATAATTCCGATACTTAAAAAACAGGGACATAGGTATACACTTGACAATGTGAGGCCGATTTCTCTTACATCTAATTTCTCTTACAACTAACTGAAAGAGTTTTGAATGCACGTGTAATAAAATACATTGAGGAGAAATCAATACTGAACCCCAGTCAAATTGGCTTTAAATCGGGATGCTCCATATGGTGTGCGCACGCGGATTTGGAGAGTTGTATACAGTTGGCTAGGCGTAGAAGAGAGTATTGTGCATTAGTTACTCTGGATTTGGCCAAGACGTATGACAAAGTGGACCATAAAATACTAATAGAGCAGATGGAAATGTCACACTTACCAAACTACATGACAGCATGGGTAGCAGAGTTTTTAAGGGAGAGTTGTATTGCTTTCAAAGGGGTTGTTTTTCTAACAGATATCGACAATACCGTGGCGTACCACAGGGGGCAGTGCTCTCACCGGTGTTGTTTAACATCTTCCTCAGTTCGATTCCAACACATAGCGATATTCATTTATATGTGTATGCAGATGACATTGCTTTGTTTGCCACAGTGATCTGCAATTACTTTATCAGACATTACAGAATTACCTAAACATGATAGAGGAATGGCTTGAAAAAATTTGAATGTCTCTAAACGTAAACAACAGCGCGCTTCTAGCGTTCTCGTTCAGGGATCCTGTCAACATTTCCTTGATGTATGGCACAGAGCAGATTCCCCAGGTGGATTTACTCAAATACTTAGGCATCATATATAACAGCCCGTTAAATTGGAAAAGGCACATCGATCACATTGCGTCCAAAGCAACATGAGCCACGGGGTGGTTACGCAAGCTCAGCAACATAAAAAGGGGGTTGCGAAGAAATACATTGGTAATGGTCTATAAAATGTACATTCGTCCTATCATGAAATTCGGCTGTGTCTTATTTTCGGGCAGTGCGACATATAAAATGAGACCGCTAATACTATTAGAAAGGGAGGCTTTACGACTGTGCCTTGGACTGCTCAAGTTTGTTGCTAACAATGTGCTATACATGGAAGCGCGTCTACCGTCATTGTTGAATAGATTCAAAATGCTTACTATTCAAACATTTCTAAAGCTATACACTGCGCCCCAGAAAGCATCGTTTTATGCTTTTATTAAAGAACCAAGCTTATTTTTTTAAACTTGGTGGTCACGATTCCACTGCCAACAGATCTTGTTCGTTCAAGCGCTGCTAGAACCACTGAACGTCAAAATCAAACATATTTTCTCAACAAGAAACGTTAATTTAGATCTTAAGATAGAATTTGAGAATATTTATTCTCTAACGCAAAGCAAATGCCATTTCAATATTTAAATGATCGGCTGCAGGATTACTTGGCACATGTGAACATGAACAACATAATTGCGACTGAT